TTATTTTTCTTGCTCTTGCTCCGCTATTTAGCCGTATGAATACAAATGCGAAAGGTTGGTGTTTGAAAGACCAAAGAAATGAGTAAGGAATTAAGAAATAAAGGAATTTATATAAATTATTTGGCTCCGGGCCACACGACCCGTAATTTATTGCGAAAAATAATCAATAAAATAATATTTTTTTGGTATTTTATTATTTTAATTTTCAATATCATTTTTGACAATATATTTAAGGATTCTCTCCTAAGTTTTTTCAATTGATTTGGTAGTGTTAATATCGGGGTAGACCTGGTTCGTCAAATAAGAACTAAATATAAGTATATAAAAACTAATAGATAACGCTAAAATTTATATGGAAATAAAAAGTCATTCACCCAAAATCATTCTTCTGCTTTTCCCACCTATTATCAATAAATTTAATTTTTTGGTGGAGGAGGAGGGGCGTTTTTTTGAGATGGGGAAGATTAGAAAGAAAGAATTAAAAGCAAAAAATACTACTTCATTGTTAGAAGAAGAAATTTTTAAATTAGTTGCCAGTGATTATACTCGTGAGGTCAAAGAATTTATTAAGGATAATCCTCACTTGAAATTAGTGTTAGTTAATTATCCCCATAACGAGCAACAATTAGCCTCGTTAAGTGCCGAATTAGCCCAAACCGGAAAGAAAATAAATAATATTATTCTGTTAAGCATTACCAATTATGAGTTAATATTGAGTTTGAAAGAAGAATATCTAATTTGTCCCATTTGTGAGAAAATATATAACCGAAAAGAGGTAGTAAAAGAAAATGAGAAGTTTGTTTGTCCACGAGATAGTGAATACCAACTCTCTTTAGTTGCTACCAAAAAGTATAGTGATTATATTATTGAGTATTACTTAAAAAATACGGAGTTAGTAATCAAGAAATTTCTTACTACAAACAAACTTTTGCCCTCCTCAGTCATTCAATTAACAGTCCAAAAAAAAGAAGAAATTCTGGCTGGTGAAATCCAGAAAAATCTGCTGAAAGTAATAGATAATTTGTAAAAATCCCGACCATGGAGTCTTTATTTTTGTATAAAAATTAATTTAATGATGAAAAAACGTGAAAATTAAATTAACATGAGTAAAAATTTTTATAACTTATTAAGGGAAAAAAATAAATTGGAAAAAGAAAGGGATAAAGCGCTGTCTAAACTTTTACAGTCAATTATCGATTGGGAAGTTTTTGGTGGTAGTGAAAGAAAAAAGGCCCTGGAAGAATATAAGAAAGTCATGGCTGATATTAAGGTAATTCAGCAACATTTAGAATTGGAGTTGGCCGGCGAAGTAGCCGACAAGGCTGAATTTTGAACTCGCGAAAAGAAATAATTATGCCGCATATAAAAATTTAATGTAATACGCAATTATGCAAGAACTACAACAAAAAACTAATGAAATTCTCCAAGAAGAAATTAGGAGAGCAATCGAAGAAAAATTAAGTCGGTTCACTTTTCCCTGCCCTCATTGTCAGAAACATATAGAAGAAAAAGATTTCGGCAAAGAACAACAGGCCTTCCATTTTATTAATGGAATAGTGAGAAAAGTTTTAGAGGAACAAATTATTCCCCAATGAAACAGATATCGGGCA